ATACACCCCTGCTTCATACTAGTTATGTTCCCAGTATTGTTCCCTCATTAAAAGGTACACAATAAAGTCCCCATTGTTGGTCTGGCTCTGCTCTATAGGGGGAGGAGAGTCCCTACACCCCCCACAGTACTTGTACACTTGCTTTGATCCCTTCAATTGGAGTGGGGTTACCTCTTGGAGTACTGCCCAGGTTACATGAATCAGTCCTAGGTGATGCAGGCTCTGCAGAAACTTTGTCCACAGCATATACACACCGGGGCTTTGGAACATGCCAGGCAGAGGGGACAACTAACTTCATCTCTGAGGTTTGCCATAGGGTTTTTTTGTAGCAATGGCTCTCCCTAGACAACAAAACTACATAAGTTTCAGTTTCCTAAACTCAGAAATGTGCTTCTGCAGGAAAAGGAGCTAAGTGTTTTAATTCTTGAAGCAATAATATACTTGGTGCTGCAGTAGGAAACACAGCTGTTTACATTTAGGGAGTGTGGCTGTGGTCCCAGCTGAAACCCAAGGCCAATCTGTTGTTATGGTCACAAATATCCACCAGCTGCTTACAATAAGATCTGAGAAAAGTTACTGCCTTTTTCTCAGATAACTGATACAAAATATGGACATTTTCTGCTAATCCAAACAGTCACTCTACTGTCAATACCCACCATTTGCCTCATTCATTGTCCCCTACGCATAAGGTAAGGAGGATTAGAACAAAGGCAGACTCGGAAATCGTGACTCCACATAGACAGATCTGGCCATAAAATGGAATTGTTTCAACACCATTTTGCTTTCGTTTCAAGATGTGAAGGGAAAAAATCATCTCATCCTTTCACTCATGAATCAAAGTTTCCAGAAATATTTTGAGGCAGAAAAGTACAAAACTGTTTTGATGTGGTAAGACAAAACTCAGTATTTTTATATTTCTAAAGACTTTTTTAAAATGTCAATGAGGGGTGCATCGATAGAGAATTTTGGGGTCGATGCAGAAGGCTGATTTTTAATGAGCCATATTGGCCAATACCGATTCAATTCTGGTATGCAGCTGGGCAGTGTGCAAAGTGGCATCTGGCTGATACATCTGTTGTGGGGGAAGGGGGAAAGGGAGAGGAGATTGAGGTGTCTGCGGTGAGGCAGGGGCAGGTGCTGCCCAGCCAGGGCAGAGCAAGGGATGGAGCATAGTGTGGGGCAGCTCCTGCTGCTACATACACCCTGAGAGGGCATGGGGGGGGGGGCGTGTGCTCCCAGATCTGCTCAGAGGGCAAGGGTGGGCTGCTACTGCAGGCTGCAGCCAGGGCAGGCCTGCCTCTTCCCAGTGCGGGGCTAGGCTGGGCTGTGCTCAGGGTGGGTGGTGGCAGCACTGGGAGGGGGTTGCAGGGGGGATGCAGCCACCCAGCTTCTGGTGTTGTAGCCCACGCTCAACTCCATGCAGCCACAACTTTGCAGCTACCCATGCACCACCTAGCATGTTGAAAGTTATCTCAGGCATGTTTCCATTAGCTGCAGTCCCAACTTTGACTTCAGGGTAGACAGACCCTTTGTCTTTCCTCATAAACTGCAGACTTCTTATCAGCTTACAGATTTTTAAAAGTTTTTCTAATTTCTTTCTTTGACTCTACTAAGCAGCATCTGCATCTCATACTTCAAGGACTGCTCAGAGTTGGTATCCTAGGCATTTGTGGAGAACACCAGAAACATTTATCTCCTTTAAAAAGGACATGTGCCTGAGTTTCTTTAACTCCTTTGGGTATTGCACCTGCTGGATGTGAAAGAGTTAATGTCTTTCCTGGGAGATAAGCAATAAATTGACTTGAGTATTGCTTAAAAAGGCTGGTTGGCCTGGCCTGAATGGTCTTTTGAGAACTGTCAACAAGGCACTGAAGCTTCACTGGAGACTGAGGTCCATCTGCCAACCACTGGCACCTCTTTAGATGATGTGTACTGACAGATCACCTCCCTGTCCCCAACCCCCTCCCTGTTTGAGCCTGGAAAGGAGGGCAGAGGTCAGTAAATCAGAAATCAGCATGACTGAAAGTGCAAACTAATAATTAAGATATGAGCAGAGTAGAAGAAAAGTTCTGTTTCCCCCAGCACAGCATTGCTTTACTGTAGGGAAACTGGCTACCAGCATGCAGTCTGCTTTCCACACCTAGCTCAGTCAGATGCTGGCTGTACTTTAGCTTTAATAATCAAACTCTAATGTTCCTAAATCCTGTTTGCAACTGGCTAAAAACAATGGCTTTGGAAATGATGTCTCATCACAGGAAGCCTATACTGTCTTCATGGCTCTCAAGAGAATAAGATCCAAATCTTGTTTTACTTTAATACACCTCAGTAGCACTGGGCTTCCAGACAGAACAGAATCTCTACAACGGTGAATACCTTCCCAGGGTTACACAGATAGAAGGAGACACACAAATGCTAGCAGAGGGCAAGAAAAATGGTGAGGGGGCTGGGGCACATGAGTTAAGAGGTGAGGCTGAGGAAACTGGGCTTATTAATCTGGAGAAGAGAAGTTTGAGGTGGGATTTAATAGCAGCCTTCAACTACATGAAGGGTACCAAAGATGTAGCTGGACTGTTCTCAGTGGTACCAGATGACAGAGCAAGGAGCAATGGTCTCAAGTTGCAACAAGGGAAGTTAGAATTTCCTAATATCCAACCTCTCTCACTAGGAGGGTTGGTGAAGCAGTGGACCAGGTTACCTAGAGAGGTGGTGTAAACTCCATCCTTGGAGGTTTCTAAAGCCTGGCTCAACAAGGCCCTGGCTGGAACAGCATAGCTGGGATGGTCCTGCTTTGAGCAGGGGGTTGCACTAGATGACTTCCTGAGGCCCCTTCCAACCCTAACTTTATATGATTCTAAATATGGATAAATAGGAAGGAAAATGGGTCTGGACTACAGGGAGCTGTTTGAGACATGTGGCCAGAGTTATCTGTCCAGGATGAAACATAATTTGTCTTCCATCACCTCTCACATTCCCCATCCACCCTGCTCCTCCCCAAACAAAAAAAATGAAGAAAAAGAACTTGAGAGTTTGGCTAAATGTTTTACTCACTGAAAAACACTGAAGAGTGTGGTACAAGGGTTAGCACATTGGCCTGAGATTCAGTGTAGCGAATTCCAGTCCTGCTCTACCTCAGATAATTTCTGTGATCCTGAGCAAGTTTCCATTTAAACTGAATTGCAACTTAGGCATTTAAAACTTGACTATCACTTAGGTTTCTCCAAAACTAAACTGAATTACACCATTAATAATAGGAATAGCTCCATTCACTACAATGGGGCTTCTTTTGAAGACATGCTCATCAGTAAGAAACTAAAAAATCTGGCACTTTGCTATTAAAATAAACCAACTTTCCCACTAGACTGAAGGGAGTCTCCCACCCCACCATTTACCTTTGATATTAAATACATAAAGAATAAGGACAATAAAGGCAAACAAAACCACCAGGACCATACACAGAACCCTCTTCTGGGAGAGACCCTTGGGAAAGTGTGACATGAAAACAAGGCTCCAAAGTGACTCCCATTCGTACAGAGGAAAAATTGTTCATATTCTTAAAGAAAAGCAGACACAGTAGAGTTTATAAGACTGGAGTTGAGGTTAAAAGGAATGTGAAATTATTACATCAATCAAGTTGGAGAGGGGACTCTGATGGGGCAGAGATTATAAACAGGGTACATATATTAAAATACAGTGTCATATGTACTGGCGGTACAACTCAATCTGGTAACACACCCTAGAGGCTATATTTGAATAGTAAGCAATGATTAATTGCAGGAAAGCTTTGGTGACGTTACTGCCAGTTTCTTCTATAATTTCAGTTGTTTTTAGGAATCAAAAGCTCCTTTAAATCTATGAAGGCTACATATAAATGATTTTGTCTTTTTCACATATTTTGATACCAGGTAATACAACAGCAAGCAGTGGCCCATACACGAATAGCCTTCTCTGCAACTGGCCTGGTCTTGTCTCAAAATGTTTTATCATCAGAGATCCATGTATATAGATGACTGTTTTCCAAATATTTTGGCTGGAACACACATACGATTAATTGGACAATATCCTGCAGACTCTCACTCATCATCATTTTTAAAACTTGGGACTATATTTCCAGTGCAATACTTAGGCTAGATGCCTTGTAAAATATTTATATCAATTTTGGGGAGTCAGATTGGACACCACTCATCAGTAAATTCCTTGAAGATTTCTGGGGACATAAAACCAAGGTCAGGGGCCTTTCCATTACTAAATGGGGATATGCACGACCTACTTGAGTTTCAAAGGTGAGGTTGTGATCTGCTTGATATTTAACAAACACAATTTTCTTTAGCAGACAGTCATAATTTTCCTTAGCAAATGCAAGTAAGTTGTTAAACTTAGCTTTAAAAACAAAATCTGTATTTCTTCAGGAATATACACATCAGGGATTATGATTATATATATTATATATTTTGTTCCTTTGGCTATAATCTGCTAAGAAACTTTTTTTAACTTTAATATTTCCCTGCAGCTGCCACAGCCTCCCTTGATACTGTTTCTTCTTTCTAGCTATAAGTTTTGTTTTTTATTTTAATATAATCTTTTTGATCCATTGGAAACTGACAGTATCATTTTTAGACTTGTACTCCTTCAAGGCTACTATTAAGGAATTTTTAGCTTTAGAGCAGTCCTCATCAAACCTGAGTTTGTGCCACCAACACCTGATCCCTACAAAGGCACTCTTTTTTTCTGAGACCATTTTAACAGCTGCTGAACAACTACTTCACAATGGCCGTGTCTACATTGCACATCTACTGTGCAGGAACTGAAATTACTGTGCATTATGGGCAAATGTCTACACATGTGCACCTGTACTGTGCAGTAAATATGGTGTCTTATGCTGACTTGGCCATAAATTTGATATCTCCATCATGCAGATATGAAATTTATGCCCAGTTAATTGCTGCACAGTAACACACATGTAGACGCCTTACTGCGCAGTAACACTGTGTGTGTAGACTGATTTGGGACTAATTTCAGTCCCAAGTCAGTCCACACATAGCATTGATGCGCTTTAATGCCTGCACATGTAGACACTGGCCTATTCCCACTTACTATGCAGTCACTTACTGCACATAAAATTTAAACCAGCATAAATGCACATGTAGACACACCCATTGAGTAATTGCTTCTTGGGGTTCTTTTTTCTTCGAAAACACAAAATGAGCAGCCTAAGACCAGCCTTTGAAAGAAGCAACACATTTCTGTCTCAGCTCCATTGTTCCATTTGATTCTCTTATGGATTACTTCTAAACTGTAGAAGTAACTGGGAGCTAACTGGACAGTTTGTAGGGAAGACTCATCATAAAATCCTAATGGAACTTCTGGGGACTGATGGCAGCCGTTACTCTCCATACATGGCAGAATTTAAAATGATTTATATTTATGCTACATACGTGGTACTATTACTATGTAATCTATGATGCTTGCTCCTTTAGTTGTAACAAAGGAGCAAGCATCATAGGAGAAGTGGGTACATCACTTCTAGGTTGTCCGTTAAGCATTATAAAATTCTCTTCTGCAATAACGTTCAAGAGAATAATTCCAGCATGTTAGCTTTTTACACGATTCTTTAAAATGTACACTTCAGTAAACTGAAATCTTATCCTATAGTAGGACAAATGATAACCTATGTAATGTATTTATTACCTTTCAGGGATACAGTTTAATGTATGTGCCTGGAGACCAAAGTGAAAAGAAAGGGAAGATTTTTTCATTGAAAGAATCATTGAAAGTAAAGATTGGTGTTCCATTATCAGCATCATAAAATGACACCTGCCCCCTGCCATAGTCCAGATAAACTCTGATCTTTGTGGGTCTCTTTGTGAGAGTCAAAAGGACTCGAGGAGAGGTGAGAGCTTGGAGAAGGTTGTACTGCTGCCTCAGAGCCCAAACTCCTTCCTCAGGTTTAAGACAGAACCATCCCTTCCTCTTCACTGATGTCCTAGCAGTCCCAATTGTCCAGCCTTCCCGATTTCCCACTTCTACCTCCCAGTAATGTTTCCCTGCCAGAAACCCTTCAGAGCCCAACACACACAGAGCAGAACTGAATCTCTCAGGATTGTCAGGCTGAGTTTGTTCTGCCTGTTTGTATTCCACACTTCTCTGATCTTCAGACAGGTTAAGGTTTGAATGAGCTGTTGCTGGATCCAAAATAACGTCCACTGGGGAGAAAGTCAGAAATGTATTATTATTATTATTATTATGCTGACAAGTTTATACTCTTCCTCTTTATTCCTTTACTCCAACAAGGCCTTTACAAGAAACAGTATCTTGCTCTTGCATTGCTAGTTGTGTTAGTTGGAAGCCAGGCAAAAGGAAGGACAAGGCAGTACTGTAGGGCATGTCCAGACAACTGTGCACATGGGGTCTGAGGTGCCACAAGCCACACATGGCGCATGTACACCCATAGCAGCATGATGCCACCATTCGCCACCAGGAGGTCCCAATGTAAAAAAAAAAAAAAAAAATGCTTTCCCCCACCAAAAAAGCAGTGTGTTGCATTATGTTGCTGTGTGCATCACCAGAAATGAAGCCAGGCCACCCAGAGCTATGTTCTGCCTACTGGCCAGGCTCTATGCAGCCAGATTGGCCCTGCTGGGGTCCTGGGAGGCTCCCCAGGACTCCAGGTAAGGCTACTGTGGCCAGCACAGGTGCAAGCCTCAGCCTCCCCTACCTCACCTGGGACAATTTGGCATGCACCACAGCAAGCATGTAGGGGCATGCCCTGGGGCACAAAGCAGTGGCACAAATAATGGCCACTGCTATTTGTGCCACAGCAAATGCAAGCCCCTGCATGTGTGCACTTGTCTGGATGTGCACTTAGAAGGCAGCCTCTGACAAAGTAGGTTGTTGCCTACAAAAGCTCATGCCTCTGTGAACAAGTTCATTTCCAAGGCATCACTGTGCTCTACCTTCTGCCTTTGTCTTATAGAGTTTGTTTCATCAACTCTCTAAGTATTTACAAACAGTATTTGTACAAAAGAGGTCAGTGTTAATACCTCCTCTTACACATGGAGCAACTGAGGCAAGAGAGGACACAGAGAGAGGACATAGGATGGCTGACCATGAGACTATCAGTTGTATGGGAACAGAACTGAGGTATCCTGAATCCTAATCCTGTGTTTTATCAATTTGCCTACAAAAATGGAAGTCTCATGCCTGCCTCATTATACTTCACACCAAGTATTTGCATGGGGCTAAGTGCATTATTTTAATTGGCCAACTCAAAAAGCTAAACAAAAAAAGGGTTGCGGGGTATCAATAAATGATATTTTTGCTTTTTCTGGCAAAATAGGAGGAATATCATTTTCAGCAAATTGTAATATTTTGTTTGATCAGAAAATGTAATATTTAAAGGTTTTGTTTTAATCTTAAATTCTGCTTCAAAAAAGCTTTCAAAATAATCTGTAGGCACCCAGAGCACAGCCTGTTTATAGGTGACCTTTGAAAGGTTAGCTTTTGTTAGGAAGCTTGTCTAAATCTCTCCCGACTATGTAGATGGTCCGATAAATGTTATTACCCACAAAACTCATTACTTCCTTTATAACCTGTGTATTCAGTTTAAGAAAAAATGTGGCCTTTTCAGACTTTGAAGTTTACCTCTATTTTTTCCCATTTCTTCCAAGAGATGATCTAAAAAGAAAAAAAAATACAGATGAGATTCCATGCTTCCTCACTTCTAGCAAGAACAGGACTGCTCTTGTTATTGACATTTTCTAAATCTCAATTCCAAACAACAGGGTCAATGACATGAATCAATATTACACCTTTTAGCCCCTTTTACCTTTGAATTTCATTGTTGTATCTTCTAGAGTTTTGTATGTTTCAGCAAAATTGTGGATTTTTTTTTGAAGGTCTGTAGAAAAAAACTCTGCTTTCTGAAACTTGACATTTTCATACCTAGAAGGGAATAAATACATTTTATTCAGTCCTTAATCAATCCATGACTATTCAGTTCTTATAGTGCTATTGAACTTATAAAATGGCAATTACATACAACAGCATGATTTAATAATCTCCCTTTGTTAATGTAGCGCCCTTCCTCATGTAGCTCTGTTCAGACATTAAGTAATAAATAATTTGGGAAATGGATATTGGAAAATACTATCCTCCCTCCCACTGGTTTTTATTTTGGTCTTTTTTTTTTTAATTGTTTTTGTCCTGAATTTTTTCTGTAGTTCATGATGTTTTATGGCAGGGATAGTCAACCTGCAGTACAAGTGCCACAAGTGGCACGAGCAGCTTTTTGTGTGTGGTACATGGCAGATCATGGAAGAGACAGGCAGCACAATGGCAGATAAGGCAGGGAGCAGAGAACAGAGTAGCAGATTGGGCAGGAAGCAAAGCTGCAAATTCTTCAGGGGAAGGAGGTGGGACTGGCACTCAGGGAAGCACTCCTGCCAAAAAGGTTGACCCTCACTGTTCTATGGGCCCAAAAGGTAGGAGAACGGGTGACAAAGGTGTTGCTGGTCTTTGAGAGCAAGGCTATTGGCTGTTTTGAATTAGGCCAAGAAAATACAAACTATATCATATTGAACATCCAAGCAAAGATTAGGCTCCAATGACTGGACTGTTACCATTGTTACAGAGGCAAGAGACACAAATTCCCTCTTCTGAGACACCTAGAGAAGCCAATTCTTCATGACTGTAACGTAAATAATCCTTCCCTTTAGGCTCTAGATTTTGCAGCCTGGTCTCCAGGCTCCTCTGAGGCTGTAATCTCAGCATGAATCTCAATGGAGGAAGATCCCAAGTGAGAAACCTCCACCACAGAAACCTCAGCTCCTGTGCACTAGGGAGATACAGTGTAAAAGTGAAGTGTAGCATCTCTTCCCTGCACAGTCGAGTGTAAGGGGGCATAAGAAGGAATCACATACCTGCTCAAGGTGTCTCTGATGTCCTAGGAGGAAGAGAGAGAAAATGGAGTTGATTTCTATAGTGCCTTACACTGAGGATCCCACCTGTTTTGCCTCCCTGATTTGGGCTTCAGGCACTGTTTGCATCAAAATGTCCTCGTGCAGAAAAGCAACCAAGCACAACATCATCTTGAAGGTGAGAGCATACTTAAGACCTTTCCAGATGAAGGATGGTTTCCTGAGCTAGCAACAGTATATTTATTTTCCCAGGTTTCCACTTCAGGAGCTTCTTTTTTTTCCTTGTGCACAACTATGAGGTGCGTCTAACACAATCTTACCTGCAGGAACTCACTCGCTGGCTGCTGGCACTTCTCCTCTATCTTACTAATCAGCTCACTGAGGCCAGCTATTTCCTCCAAGAGCCTGGTGACAAAATCCTTCTGTTCTTTCACAATCTCCTCTTCCACCTCTCTCACCAAGGCCAGCAAGATTTGTTCTTGTTCCTCCAGAAACTGGTGCAGTTCTTTAAATTCATTTGTGATCTTTTGCCTCTTAGCTTGTACGTGATTCTGTAACAAACAGATACAAATCAGAAAAAAGACAAGCCAGAGATATGGAAAGAGTTGGGGGATATTTCAGAAAGGCTTGGGTACGCAGCAGGGAAAACTTAAATGCAACCCTCTAAGTTCTCAATTTCCAGCCAGGCATTTAAAGCTCTTTGTTTGCATCACATGTGTATTAGGGATTCTCTAATCATCTCATGCCATTCCTTATCCTAGCCAGAAGATAAGTAAAAAACGTGGACCTAAAGAACCTAAAGAAGGACCTAAAGAAACCGCTTGGGGAAGTTTACTACTTACCATGAGTAACTGCAGGCTTGGAGCTTCAGATAGGGACTTCAGTAACCCAGTAGTCAGTTGACATGTTTACACGTTCATTTATGCACCTGTGCTACTGCATATTAAGTTTAGTACCTCGAATATGAGGTACTACACAAAGGTGCATTAGCCTGTGCTAATGCACAGTAGCAAAGTGAACGTTTTTTTGCGACACTTGATGTGCACTAGAATAATTTCACTGCGCATTAACACATTAGCATGGTTTGTGCTGCAATACACTAATGCACAGTAGAATAAGCTACTGGGCATTACAGTGTCTTATGTAGATGTGCCGAGTGTGAGACATTTAAACACAAACCCACACATGTGCCCCTCTCATGAAACAACACATTATCACAAAGAAACTCAGTCACACCCACCAAAGGCAGAGAAATATTGCCACAGAGACTCAGAGAAGAAACCAGATTAACTCAGCAGGTATATAGGAAATGCTGTGTGGGTACCTACCAAATATTTCTGGTGTACATTTTCTTTCTTCACTATAAACTTCTGCAGCTTCAGTCTTTCTTTCCTGAGAATCACTAGCTGAGTCTCAATTTTTTCCTGAGTAAAGGCAAATAGTTTGGAGTGAGATTTTTCTTTGTAGGTGAGAGAGCAGGTAAGTATACACTGTATTTTGTCACATACCACAGACCCGCAAATAAAATATGCCTTTTTTTGTGAAGGCAGAATGAAAAATAAAAAGAGTTTTTTCCTTGGAAATAAGTAATGTAATATAACCAGTTATAAAAAAGATATAAAACACTTTTATTTTTTTTTATTCACAAGCCCACCTGTTTGCAACCACTACAGAGCTGACTCCGCAAGTGTGTATAGTAGTCCCATTTGAATAATGTCAGGTACCTCTATGTCGAAATGTATTTTTAACTAAACTGTTTAGAAATCAGTTTAATCATTTAAGACACACATCCCAATTTTCCATTGCTAATTTTGGGGGGAGAGATGTATGTGAATAAATGCGGTGTGTGGGGGAGGAGGCGCATCCACATGTGCATGTGTAATAACACAGACAAAGTTATGCATGAATACTGGGCTGCCATCTCCCCTGAGGACAACTTGTCTTTGCCCCCATTGGGAACATACGTGGCAATTCTCTGCGGAGCAGGATTTATCAGCCTCTGCTTTCAGAAAGGACGTTGAGGTTGTGGCGGGCCAGTAGGGGGCGCTCCTGCGTTGAGCCGCCCACCTCCCTGCACCCGACCAACTTCCAGGCTCCGAGTGCCTCCCTGGGGTGCCTCCCGTCCGGCCGACCCCTTCCCTGGAGCACACCCGCTAGCCTGGGGTTCCCGCTGCCACCATCCAAGGCTCTGGACTCACTTCTGGCTCTGCGCACCTTGGAAAACACAGGCCTGATCGTCCAATGGGTGCTAGACCCAATACAAGCACTTGGGGCACTTCCCCAAGTCAGGGGCT